CCGAGCTTAATTAATAACAGCACTGTGAATGGGGTTGATTTCGTCTATGAATACAATGGCCAAAAAGCTATAAAACTTCAGGTTTATTAATGGAATTGCTTAAGTATTAATGGCTCTGTTCACTATTAATGAAAATTCTCCCGTTCCTTTGGCCTAAAACAGCATCTGTAATCACCGCCATGCCCAGATCCAGCAGCTCACCGGCGTAATTAACAATCTGTCAGCGTTATAGGCCGCCTATGTTCATCAAAGCCTCGCTGTTGGTTTGTAAAACTCTTTTAGGCTGAGTTAGCTGTTAGCGATTCAACGCAAGTTCCCTAAGAAGTGGACAGAAGAACACAGGGCTTTGATTCGGAGTGGACTTGGAGCCGTCAGAGGAATAATGTAGGTTATGAGCTGGCAGTGATTCATGGTGAAGGGTTTTGTTGTGTCACTGGATTCATGAGGGCTGGACAGCATGACACATCGTATCACGGCCTCCGTCTCTCAGGAACATCAGTATGCAAACCGCCGGCGTGATTTGTCTCGCAGTCATTCAGCGAGCGACTCTGCTCACATTCTCATAGGAATGGAAGAAAAATCTCTTTAACAGCTCGATTGCTTCTTCTAGACAGCAACGGCATTGAATCGAGAGTTTTGCGGAATTCTGTAGCTTTTTCTCAAACATTTCTCATCAAACAGTCCAAGCTGCTATTCACGTTCATATTCAAGTCTATAAAAATATATATTATATTATATATTAAATAAGAATGTTTGGTGGTATTGAGTTGGTGGTACAGTAATGAGAATGAGATCTCATTACAGTAGAAAAATCGGTGTGAAAAATGTCAGAAGATTTACTGTATTGTATTGTATTTATTGTATTGCTAATTCAAAGTAAAATATAGAAATGTATAATATACATGAATGCTATAAGATATAAGTGTGTGTGTGTGTGTGTGTGTGTGTGTGTGTGAAATTTTAAGATTTTGTTATAAATGTTATGCTATATTTTTTTAAAGATTTTTGTTGGAATCATCAAAAGATCTCAAAATACCAAACTTTTTTTTTTTTTATAATGTATACTTTTTAAATAATCATTAGTCTTTAATGGTGAATCCAAATAGTTTGAACTCATTTTAATAACTTTATATATTTAAACAAAGGCAGTAAAATAACTATGCAAGGAATACATACTTATTAACTAATAAATCATCAATGTATTTTGCATATCATCATTTTAGCCTGTTTTAATAAAATAAAATATGATTCCTCATATACTAAAAAAAAATAAGATTTATGTATTTGAATTGCATATACAATTTTTATCAATTTGAATTATGCTACAAACTATGGAAGCCCGTTTCCGCCACTGAATAAAAAATAAAAAGGTAATTGCAACATTTTATCTCACAATTCTGACTTTTTTTCTCAGAATTGCGTGATATAAACTCACAATTGTGAGTTATAAAGTCAGAATTGCGAGATAAAAATTTGCAATTGCAAGAAAAAAAGTCAGAATTGTGAGTTTATATCTCGCAATTGCGATTAAAAAAGTCAAAATTGTGAGATTTATTCAGTGGTGGAAACGGGCTTCCATAGCAAACAAATATTTGTTAGTCATATATAAATGAAACAGGTCAGATTGCACTCAAAAAATATATAGGCTTATATTTTAGATTTTTGATGATATATATACACATTTGAGTGTACTCTTAATGCATGACAATTATTGACTGTATTTGGGTCTATTTTTATTTCTCCTGGGGAATTTGAGGGGACATTTAAGATACCGTGATCCCCATTACGTCTCATTTAAGAAGCCAGAGAAGCACATAAAAAGTAAAAAAAAAAAAAGTTATAAATAATAATTAAATCTATTCATGCTGAATCTACTAAGGATACAGCAGAGTTCGTTTACGTCACATGATATGGTCCATAAGTGTCACATCCATTTGCACTACATGCAGATCACCAACTTTTCGAGAGCACTAATATTAACCTTTACATAACCCGTGAATATGTACTTCAGCTCTCCACTGTACGCCTTCATTATGACATTTCAAAAACTTTATAATTAGTGTGAGCTGTATGGAGCAGGTCTGCCTGGTTTCCGGGTGACTTACAGTGGCGGTTTGGAGCGGGTCTGACCCGCCTAATTAAAGCCGAACCCCCTAAAGAAAGGCATAACAAAAGGTTAAAAAGTAGATACTAAACGGCTCTCATTCAAAAGATTACATAAGGAACTTTTCAGTGGCCGCAAAAGTAGATTACAAGTTTGTCAGAGCATTGATTTCCACACACAGAAGTGGACAAAGCTTGAACACTTTCCACTTTGAACAGCCAAATGAAATTACCTTTAATGACCTTTTGAACAGCTGACTACCTTGAAAATCAATGTAAAATCCAGCCACTGCCTAAAAACACACCTAACGCTTAAAAAAGCTTCAACAAGCAAACACACTATCCATAACTATCAAAACCAAAACACTTTGAAATCAGACTTCATATATTTCTTTTTATTTTTAATTTTGCCAGTCTAAAAACTTGAGGAATTATTCATGAGCAACAAAGTCAAAACTGAATAGCAAGAGATGGGAATTATTACGTACTAGTGCAGATCGGTTCTTTCAAATGTTTCATTTCAATAAAAATGCTAACTCAAGATCTACTGCACTGTGACTGATTTGCAAATTAATCATTTAGACCAGTGTTCTGAACCCATTTATAAGACCTACTTTAACAGAATGATTCGTTCACAAACTCCTACTAATATAATAAGACTAAACAGTTTTTACCTTTAGTGGTAAGTAACCTTTAGTCCAAGATTCATCTGCAGGTTCCGTTTTTTCAACTGGTTCAAACAATTCATTCGAAAGACAAAAGACTCAATAGAATGATACGTTCACAAATTCTTGCTAGTACACCAAACTATTTTGCTTCAAAGCTTCACAAATAGCTACAATATATATATATATATTTTTTTTTTTTTTTT